TTGCAACAGTAGTGTTAAGAGCCCTATTAAAATTTGCAACGCGGCACCAGAAGTTCCGGATTTTTTTCTACTTTTACTTCATTAAAACTTAAGGATTTAAGGTTCCCATAATCACATTCATCTTTATAAAAATAATTGAAAGATGCAAAATACCTTGTATTTCAGCATTTTATCAGAACCATGAAGACAAAGATAGACAGAGTAATAAGTACGAACACTTTTCCATAAGTTTAATTGTGCATGCGTATCCGTGTTTGATATGAGTGACAATATCGTTTTGTCAAGATATGTTGTGTTTCAAACACAGGCCATCATAACACAAACTGAATTGTATAACCCAAATTGCTTTCTTAGTTTCTCGGAAATTCATAATAACATTACGAATTGACAGGATGATGTTGGCTCTTATTTTATTGGACTAAAGAGTACATCATGTTGCGTCTCATTCTACCTAGCAGGATTGCCGTAAGGGCATGATATCTCTTTTTCTTACTCTATCAGTCTTTAAATACTAAGTCTGTGATCAGATCCAATCGATAACACAGATTACCGACAACAAGAACATCACTAGTGCAAACATACAATTTTAGAGATAAAAAAAATCTGTCATCCCAGCTACCGTATTCTTCAGCACACACTAGGGCAAATGTTTGTGAATTATTAAAATTCTTTCGCTGTACAAACATCATTGACAGTATAGTAGAGTAAAAGATTATAAGAATTAAGAAAAAAACACCTTGCCTATGGGAAGATTTCTGAATCCTGCGTTTTTTTTTCCTCAATGAATTTGGTAGGTATGTCTAACTCATATTGGCGCGATTTCGAAACTAACTCCAGTAGAGTTAACAATTTAAGAAGGCCCTTCAACCTCAATTTTGCTATCTACGACAGTCGGATTCAGCTATTAGGTGGAGCTATCTACCCACCTAATTATAAAAAGACATCGCGGTCCGCTGTGCCCTACGCCTCTCTTAACCTACGTCACTTCCTTCCGTTTGTGCTGTTATATCCCCTTAGAAGGGGACCTTATAGGCAAATTATGGAAACATCCCAAGTCATCACTTACATCTATAAAAATAAATAAAATTGGAGTGTCTGTTTGTAATATTGAAATAACCGCTTTTAACTACATGCATATGAATATATAAATAACATTTTTCACAATTTTTGTCTGTCTGTCTGTTTGTTCCGGCTAATCTCTGAAATGGCTGGATCAATTTTGACGGGACTTTTATTGGCAGGTAGCTGATGTAATAAGGAGTTACTTAGGCTACTTTTAAATTAGAAAAAATCTTTAATTTTAGAAATAAAACTAAAAGTTAACGCGTACGAAGTCGCAGGCGGACGCTAGTTATAAAATAAATAAGAAAACAACGCGCACACAGCAACAATTTAACGACACTACATTTCGAAGATGTTTAGTTAAAAAAACGGGTCACCAAGATTATGAACCGTCAGCAAAAAAATTGAGGGAATGTGCGATTGTCATTTGGATAAAATCGATACACAGGCAGACACAATAAAAACAATGTCCACGGCCATAAACGATAATAAAATTAACGGTAGCCTTAAAGATTAACAAAAACACGGGGAAACATTAACAATTTGTCCAAACCGTTTCGTGTTTTACGAATGTGATTGATGGAACAAACGGCGTGTCTTACATACGTCAGTGTCGTGGTACAAGTTATAGGGAATAGCGATATATTTAAAAACCAGAGGTCCTGCGGTTTCATCCGCGTTAATTTGAGGAAAACTTAAATGATGCACATATTGTCGCGAATTTTTTATAGAACTTTTAAAGGGGAACTATTCCGTCATACATGATTTTTGTGTAACTTTAACCGTTTAGGCAGCGCAGCGACAGCACTGAAATGGATTTTTGATGTGTAACATCTTTCCTCTTGCTTTCCTGCAATTTGTGGGAGTGATTTCGTGAAATGGGACGGAAGTGTGTAATAAAGTCGCGAACGAGCGCGCTATTTGATTTGATTTTAGAACATAATGTTCAAATGGCTTATGCCTTTTTATAGGTAGTAGGTTTTATTTCTTTTTTTACTAATATAAGGTGAGGTTTCAAATGTTACACATGATACGCGACTACTGTAAGACTCGCTCGTTTTTTTTCCTGTTTTTGCAACATTTTTCATTGACGTTCCGCTTCTACTGGTCGCAGCGTGATGTGATATAGCATCTAGCCTTTCTCAATAAATGCACTATTCCACAAAAATTTTTTTTTGTTTACCAGTAAGACCAGTAAGTCATTTTAAATAATTTGAAACTTAGTTAGAGGTTTTAGTCACCCTTTCTTTAAAGTTGAAGAAAATTTACTCTCATTAAAGGCTGGACACAGTATAAAAACACTTTTTCACAAATTCTAAAAATTACATATAATGGTTTGAAGAGAATTTAATAAATTGACAATGAAGGCGGGCACTTAAGTAATGAAATCTCATTTTATAACAAATTAATTTCGCAAATTACAGTATTGCCAAACGGACTGCTGTTTCTATCTATTGAATATATGGCAACTACGTTTAAAACCAATCAAGGCAATCACTATAGAATAGTTTAGCTAAAATATCTAGAAAGGCGAACTAATTTATATTCCTTGCCCTTACTATATATACTTAGTACCTAATATTGAAAATTGACTCGGGATATTTACAAAATTTCCGGGATTAGTGGGAATTTATTAATATTTCCAGTAGCACAACCAGGATCGCTGAGATTTTTTTTTCCCAGCGGTGCATCACTACTACTAAGGTCTCTTTGTTTTAGAATACGGATTTAATGCATTAACCCATTTGAGTTTCGTGACACAAAGTGTATCGAAGTCAATCATCGCAACTTATAGTGTTAATTAAAACTAAAAAATCCATTTTCAAAATTCAATTTTAAATTTAAAAAAAAATTAAATTAGGCCACAGTACAAAACAAATGAATGTCAATAAACCACCTCACCGTATCCGCGCCAAAACCTCTCTCCTCTTAACACTCGCGCCACACACGGGCCACCTTCACACGCCGTGTGTGGCATCTGACCGGTGACACGGTACCATTTATCATTACACTCTAAAGAGTTCAGCTAACGAGACCCTGGCTCCTCCAAAAAGGACTATTTCTCGAATTTCTCGAATCGAGCCTTCGCACGATCAAAAGTTGAGATTTAACACTTGTTAGCGTGTACCTACTGAGTACACGTATTCTTAATGTTACGTTTTAATGATAAGGAAGTTACGATTGCTATATTGGTAAAGCTTTGAGCTCTAACACGATCAAAAGTATGTAAAGAATGAATTTGGTATTTGTGATTAAAAGGTTGGCAGCTATCTTGGTCAACGGATAAGCCTTGCCATCCAACTTGGCAATGCTGCTAGCCTATTAGGCACTATTCAAGTACTCTTAGTACGAGTTTGAGCTCACGAAAACTATCATAGTTTTCGTAATTGTAAATTATGTTTCTATGTCCATTTTGGTGAAAAGTAACTAATATACTTAAAATTTAAGAAGACGCAAATGATTTAATGATAGAATTTAAACACTGTTTATTTGTATTTAAACGAAAACAATGAATTCAGTACCTGCGAGCTCACGAAAACTATCATAGTTTTCGTAATTGTAAAACTCGTACTAAGGGTACTGATGGCGGCGCTGGGGGTGATATATTTTTTATTTTGTAAATTATTTATTTATGATGGTAAGTAGGTAGTAAAAAGAAAATAGAAAATTCAGTGGTTTACTATTAATGGTAGTGTGTACGCGAAATATATTTTAATTATAGGAAATTAACAACAAATTCGTATGATATCTTTGAGGACGAAGCAAATATAAAAATTGATGGTACAGAATGAAAGAAACCAAAATGTTTATCGCGAATCTTCCGCCAAATACGCTTCAAGTAGTACTTCCCGTTTCATCGTTTATTCAAGACGCTCTTTAAGGAAACTGCGTGTTTTCAATTAACAGAAAAGAAACGTTACGAAACTCTAAATATTCCACGACAAGTTCTCAACTTTGCCATCTTTCTAATTCTTCAAATAGCAACAAACTTTCGTTTTATTCTATTCAATTCTTAGTCACTGTAAATATTTCCTTGATTTTTCACATAACATGAGGAGCTCGATGGCGCAGGTGGTTAGCGCGTTCGGCTGCGATCGTTGAATTAAGCAACTTTTGCAGTGGTCGGTCATTGGATGGGTGACCTAAAATCTTGTATCTCGTGTTCCTCCGTGCTTCGGAAGGCACGTTAAGCCGTTGGTCCCGGCTGCATCTGCAGTCGTTAGCACCCGCCAATCCGCACTGGGCCCGCGTGGTGGGTCATGGCCCAATCTTCCTATTCCATCTACAGGAAAGGCCTGTGCCCCAGCAGTGGGGACATTAATAGGCTGATGATGATTACATAACGCAATAGCATGAGCACCACGAAACGATACGATAAAGCCTTTTATCGATACTTAACTGTCAAACTCCATTTGCATTTTGCAATTTGACAGTCAATGTCGATAAAGCGCTTTATCATATCGCGTTTTAGTCGTCATGTTACCCCTAGCATGTCACGTAATCTATTCATATAATAAAATGGTAGGAAAGTTAAAACAGTACATTGAATATTTTTTTAAAAGAATTGGGGTGTGATCTACAAACGATACTGAAGCGAAAAATATAGTTTCTAGAATTTTAGTCTGTTTGTCTATATGTATGTCCGGGATAAACTCAAAAACTACTGCATGTATTTACTTCAAATTTGGCAATAATAGTCAACATATAGCCTACATATTATCACGCTATCACCTACGGGGAACGAGCAGTGAACCTTTATTTCTAACTAACTCCACGCGAACGAAGTCGCGGGCAGCCGCTAGTCTAATATAAATATCCAAAGAAATTCTTCAACTGTGACCTTAGAAAAAAAACAACCCGCCAAAAAGCTAAACAACGCCATCTACTTGCGGCTCCCTACAACTTATTTCATGTTGCTGTAAACAGATGGCGCTCACCTGGTTGTGGTAGTGCGCCAGCGGGTGGTGCGGCACATGCCGCATCGCCGGGTGCAGCATTTCGCCGCCGCTGCTGCTGCCCTCTACCGCCTGTGAGAACAGAACTACAGATATAACTAGATAGTGGTGTCGATTCTGGCAGGATTGTCTAAACTTAAAATTAAATTTCGCATCAGTCTGTCCTTTTCACTCTGTACAGAGAATGACAATGATACACTGTTGTCAAAATAAAGTTTAGCTTTAGAGAATCTTGCCAGAATTGACAGCAGTGATTTACTAATCTTCGACATGACATGATGACCTCATGGTGGAGTTGTATACGGGGTTTCAAGATTCCGCTTACTCGCGAGATCCTGGGTTCGAATCCTGGTAGGGTAAATGTTTGTATGATGATAGATATATTTTTTCAATAAAAAAATATACTTAAGTAATAAGTAAGACATTATAATGTATTTATATCCCTCTGGTTTCCCGCAACACAAACATTATGGTGCTTATTTTAGGGTTAATTGGTGTGAGTGTTTGTTTTCATATAATTTATGTGAAAGTGGCATCTGGCACCCCAGTCTCGACGCGCGCGATTTCATCGAGTGCGGTTGGCGTCTTATTGCCTCAGAAATATTCGAGAAAATTCGACACGGCCATCTGGGCCGCGGTAGCATAATGGTCAGTGCATCCACCCGGATAGCGGAGGGTGCAGGTTCGAGTCCCGTCTGCTGCCTGGCCCGCGTTTAATTTTTTCTAGTAAAATCCTTTATCTGATAAGAAGAATGGGCTCACCTCAGGTTGGTCATCCTTGACTTCAGCCTCGTCTCCTAACTCGACCAGCTGGAGAGCTTCCTCGAGGAGGTCGAACCGCGACTCCTCGGAGGTGACCAGCTCGCTCGGAAGCTCACCCTGGATCACGTATTCACCTGGAACAGGAAACATCAGTCAATATAAGGTGAATAATCAAGAACTACGAAGAGAACTTATTTATACTACCTAAGCGTACATAGACAACATAACATATTAATATTGTTTCACGATTTTGCAACATTTTTAAAAAATGCTCCGCTCATATTTGAGGTAATGAGAACCATAGTAGCTTAACTCATTTTTTTAACCATAATGGCCTATCTTACTTAGGCAAGTATGGCACCTCAAATTAAGATCACAGACTCAAAGCCGTAACAGTGATTATGCTGCCATCTAGTGAATATTTGTTGTATCACTTTTAGATCACTCTGGTTTTATCAAAATTGTCAATTTGAACTGGAAAAAATCATTAAGCACAATATTGTAAAAAAATGAGTTAGGCCACTATGATTCTCATGGCCTCTCTTCCGTGTGCTCCATCTGAATTTTGTTCTGTAATCTGAGCAAACATAACTTTTGTTTAATCAAATCCTTATTGAGAATTGTGAAAATATTTTGCAGCAATTGTAAGGGATACGTTGTTTTTATTGCGGATAAAACAATTCTCTTGACAACTTCTAAACACAAAACTTTATAATAGTTTATTACAAAGTTCCGTTGCTTTTAATGTGTCGACAAAGGAAACCGCATTTGCAAATAAAGTCATATATCATAATTGTCTACGGTTGACCGCTACAAAAAAAAACAACCCTTCCTTAATGCTCTATGGTTAATCTCTTTAAGTATGAAAGGGCCTTTCAGACCCTCATTTAACAACAGTAGCAAAGGTTTGACTTTAAACCTTAAGTAGGAATAATAGTTATGGGATGGCCACCTTTTTTTTGGTTGCGGCTACTACTCTGTGGTCATTTTAATGGTATCTTAAAAGCAATCGAAGACAGTCAAGCTTAAATCTTTTTATTTTTTAATTGGATGTTTGGGTGTGTCTCTAGACTTACATGAAAAAAGTCAACTTACATACTGTGAGTACTGGTGTTTAATTAACTGTGTGTATTCTTGAAGGTTATATTTTTTATGTAAACAATGTCATTGCAAATTTATTAGTTTTATAAAACAGAGATAAAGGAACTATTCTGAGACTATATTTATCGTTTCTTCAGATTTTTCTATGCAAAGTGACAACTGTACCCTTAGCACAAACCAATATCGAATTCGTAACGTTTGCGAGTCCGAAATTTGTACTGACTTTTAGTTCTCGTTACGTATTGGTGGCGCTGCTGTTCAAGTTTCCATACAAAATTTGACATTGACATTTCGATTTGCAAACTATTCGAATTCGATAATGGTTCGTGCTAGGGGTTCTGATTTTAGACAAGACAGTAGATGCGATGGAAAAGTATGCCGCTGCACTTTGTTGGCCTAAAAGAATACCCCAACCCGTGGACTCAAAAGGAGAAACATATTTTTTAATATTAGTTCTTTGACTGTGGTTTTCAGTAAGGTTATTTCACCAGTTAGGCGTTCCAGTTTTAGCAAAGAATACACTACACTATGCCCTACCTATCTTGAAACTGACTCGAGTCGATATCTTTTAAAGTAAGAACTTAAATGTCGCCCCTAATGTAATCTAGTGAATCTGTTTTTTTTTCTATTTCGATCAATAAATATTTTAGGAATCTGTCGAAGAGTAGAATCTACTATTAATCTACAAGTAGTTTTTCGCTTCAATTGAGACGCCAATCCTTTTAAGTAAATCTTAACGTTTAAGATAACAGATAAATAAAAAAACTACATAAATTATTTTTTCAGTCGACGAGTGTTGTGTTTTTTTTTTCAATAAAGTTAACGTTTTTTCTACATTCATTTGTCATATTATCTCCATCAGCTAATCATGCGAGGTAACACTCTCAGTTAACGAGTTGTCAAAATCGTCCAGACTGCGGTGGCAAACCTATTGGTGCACAATGAAACTCAAAAGTTAATCCTTCCTTTGTTGGGGACTTTAAGACCGAGGCGACACATTTTTTTCGTGTCAAAATCCTAACGGTAGTCAAAGGGTTACTGTTTTTACTCGTAGACGGCCCATAATTTGTTATGGACGTGCAATTTATTGACATATTGTCATTCCATTTTCAAATATATTTTTTTCTTTTCAAGCAATTTAATTATTGGCAATAAGTTTTGCCGTAGAATGGGACAGTGATAACCACAAGTCCACCTTTTTCACTTAGATAAAGTTTTAGTAACTTAATTTAAGTGAAATAGATCGTTTATTAATGAGGGCATTAAGAGCCTGATCGTTTATTAATGAGTCATTAATTAGCAGCCTGTAAGGTGGTCTTATATTTTTGTCCCTATTCATCGCAGTTATCTGAATATTATAAACATAACACTACATTAAAAAACAATGTTATTGACTTCAGATGGGTAAGTGCTGATTTTAAATTGGAAGAAACAGTTGGTAACTTTCAGCGTGAGTTGCACCAACTTAGTTTAACTTTAACTGTTCAGTTAAAGGTTAAACTGTTTGGGTAAAAAATCATTTGCATTATTTGACGATTGTCAAAATGAGGTCATAATTTAACAATGACATAACTGTCTAAGCGAGTCCGGCTAAATTTATAATCACATTTACCTGGCGCTGTGGTGTAACTTACGCTTAGAAATTCATAATTACGTTAACTGATAAAACTTACGATATTTTTGATTGCGAGATTGAAAGACCATCGTATTCTGCGGGCGAGAGTCGGGTAATTCAAAAGGTTTTTTTTATAAATAAATAAAATAAAAATAAATAAATAAATATTTCCAACACTCACACCAATTAGCCAAGCCCCAAAGTAAGCACTGTAAGGCTTGTGTTATGGGATGCCAAGGTAACGGATAGAATACATATACTGTACATATGTAAGTATAATTTTATATAGAAATACATATTAAACATCCATGACTGGAGTACAAACGCTCGTATTCATCACACAAACATCTGCCCCCACCAGGATTCGAACCCGGGACCTTTCGAGTCGGGCCACCATGAAACCACCACTCGGCCACGGAGGTCGTCAAATCTTTCAATGATTAAAAAAACAGTCTGATATAACTAAGTTAGGTATCATTTTAGTGTCAAAAACAATACCTGTACCTAACACAAGCGACATGTTTTCCTGTTACTGAACATGAAAAAAAGGACCAACTTGGCTGTAAATAGGAAAAAAAACCGACCCACACACCTGAAATAATCGATTTGGGGCCGTTTAGAATCTCGTCCGGTCCGAAAATACATTTACTAATTGTTTGCCGCCAAAAAAGCGGCGGCCATCTTGTTTGCCCTTCACGCTTGACCGGACGCCATGTAGGTATTTCGAACGAGGTTTGATACATAGAGTTCTCAGATTAAAAAATTGAAACAATAGCTTCGAACGACTAGATCTCCGCGTGAATTTGCTGATGCCGAACAATGCCTAAATGCCTAAGTAAGAAGTACTTATGCAGTAAATAGACTTCGGACATCGAAAAGAAGATGTCTCTTCACTTTTTTCTAACACTTACAGTAATAATAATATAATAATGATGGTGTCAATTCTGGCGTGATTCTCTAAACTTAAAACTAAATTTAACATCAATCTCTCCTTTTCATTCCGTATAGAGAATGACAAGGATACACTGAATCGTGTGAATTGACACCAATAAAAACGTTTATTTGGCACAAATTATAAAAAAATACGTATTATGTTATATAGCTTATTACAATGTGTCTGATTATATTGCAGACAAAAATGCGTGGGGTTGAACTGTTCCAATCATTCCAACAGGTTTTCTATATTAAATAAACCATGGTTGTATTGACGCTGTAACAACATAATGACTTGTAAATGTTGTTACATTATACTTTTGATGTTGTGGATATTTTTTCACTCGTTTTTCCCCGCAACTAAAAAAATATGCCCAATAACGAGTGGTAGGGAAAAAAAATTGGACGATTCAAAAGAGATGTACATACATCCAATTTGAATAAAGATAGATTGATTTCTGATAGAGATTTTTTACCAAACAGGCCACTGCTCAGTATGTATATGTCATGACAACATGGCCACGACACTAATTAGCCAAGTCCCAAAGTAAGCACTGTGAGGCTTGTGTTATGGGATACTAGGGTAACGAATAGAAAACACATACTGATACATTTATAAGTAGACGTATCTGGAAATATATATCAACATCCATGACTTTGGTACAAATGGTTCTATTCATCATACATATATTTGCTCCACCGGAATTCAAACCCTCTCCCGGGAGCTCTGAGCAGGCGACACCTCTATGGCTGCCTCTATGTGGAGTTCTGACATCCCTAAGAGCAGCCATAGACGGAACTGCTCGAGCATTTAGCCAGTGATAAACATAAACGGACTGCTCGTGCAGTCAGTATCAACAACTAGGAGCTGCCATTACAGCTCGTTGATAATCTAGGCGTCGAACGTCGTTAAAGATCTAGGCTTGTATATCGACTCGAGTTTTAAATGGCAGGACCAAGTTAGTAGTGTCTGTAAAAAAGTAACGGGAACCCTGCGTGCCCTTTATCGAATGAAAAATTTTTTGCCGGTCAATATCAAGGCAATGCTTGTGCAAACCTTAATATTTCCCATAATCGACTATGGTGATTTGTGCTACTTCGACCTGAATGCAGATCTACTCAACAAACTTGATCGTCTTCAGAATAACTGCATTCGATTCGTTTTCAATCTGAGAAAATATGACCATGTTTCCGCATACCGATCTCTCTTAAAATGAATGCCCATTAGGCAGCGCAGAACTGTGCGGGCTCTGACCACCCTATTCTCTTTGCTAGATTCTCCAAATGCTCCCCCTTATCTCACTTCTCAATTTCAGTACTTATGTACCTCTCATAGTAATAATCTTCTTCTAATCGTTTACTTATCGTTCCATCACACTGCTCCGATATTATTCACTCTTCCTTCTTCGTAAAAACGATACTTTTGTGGAATGATATCCCGCTAGATATCAGAATGTCCCCCAGTAAATATACCTTTAAAAGCAA